TTAAAGATCACATAGGACACAGCCAGGGAAAGAGAAAAACAGAAAAACTGATAGGAAATAATTTATTAACAATTTCCCCCATTTGTACAACATTAGATCATGCAAAATACATCCTAGGACACTAATAACACGTATGTAGGCTACAAAACACAGAAATATTGGTAAGACAGTGGCAAATTGTATTAGAGAACTGGGAGGGCACTGGCTGCAGGAGGTGGCACACAGAATCACAGAATGGTTTGGGTTTGGATGAGACCCTAAAGATATCCAGTTCCGACCCCACTGCCATAGGCAGGGATACCTTCCACTAGACCAGGTTGCTCAAAGCCCTATCCAAGCTGGCCTTGAACACTTCCAGGGACAGGGCATCCACAACTTCTTTAGGCAACCTGTTCCAGTGCCTCACCACTCTCACACTAAAGAATTTCTTCCTAACATCTAATCTAAAAGCCCTCTTTCAGTTTAAAGCCATTCCCCTCCTTTTTCTATGGCTACATGCCCTTGTGAAAAGTCCCTCTCCAGCTTTCCTATAGGCCCCTTTTAGTCACTGAAAGGCCACCATAAAGGTCACCCTGGAGCCTTCTCTTCTCCAGGATGAACAACCCCAGCTCTCTCAGCCTTTCCTCACAGGAGAGGTGCTCCAGCCCTCTGATCATTTTCACAACCCTCCTCTGGACCTGCTCCAACAGTTCCATGCCTTTCTTGTACTGGGGGCTTCAGAGCTGGGTGCAGCACTCCAGGTGGGGTCTCACCAGAGCAGAGCAGAGGGGCAGAATCACCTCCCCTCGACCTGCTGGACACATTGCTTTTGATGCAGCCCAGGGTGTCGTTGGCTTTCTGGGCTGTGAGTGCACATTGCTGGGTCATGTCCAGCTTTTCATCTACCAGTTCTGCTAAGTCCTTCTCAGAGCTGGTTTCAATTCCTTCACCCCATAGCCTGTATCAGTACCAGGGGTTGCCCTGGTTTAGCACCTTGCCCTTGTTGAACCTCATGAGGTTCCCCAGGGCCCACTTTTTGAGCTTGTTCAGGTCCATCTCAGGCAAACCGGGTGCTTTTTCAAAGCAAAGACACAGATAGTAACACTAACATGTATCAGAGAAAAGGGCTTTTGCACCATAGAAAAATTAAGCTGGAATAATTTAAATCACAGAAGTCAGCAGTGAAAGAGGATTGCCTTCTACATGGATTTGTGACTGAACTAAGCATGTGTCCCTTTTGTGGATCCTGCTGAGCCACTTCTCCCCAGAGCTGCACCTCTTTTAGAGCAGCCACCACACTTCATCTCTGCCCATAGTAGAGGCTGGTTGAAGGCCTGAGGGATCTCTTTTGACTGATTCAGCATGACCAGGTGGAATCATGCCCCAATACCCCCAGGAACTGACCATAAATGGAGACCAAAAAGCTCCATCAAAACAAGCACGTGTTTGTTATACGAGAGAAGTTTCATTTTCTAGGTGAAACAAAATCCAGGAAAGTGCACTCCCACATGCTTTGCTAGCTCAGCATACATTTGCTCACCTTAGGTGAGGAAGCTCCAGCTGCCTCTGTTCCACCAATCTCAACTGGAAAAAGCAATGTACACACACGCTCAGGGTCTCCTTCACAGAAGGGCACATGTGCTTCTTTTCAAGCCACTGCTTGCTTCCACTGATGCACATCAGCTCCTCACTACACCTCTCCAAAAACTCTTTGATTTTTGCAGTCATACAGGCAGCAATCATGCAATGTCCACAACTCCTCATTTCCCTGGTCTGCCGTAATCTATCCAGAGATACAGTCAAGCACAGGGAATTTGGAAACCCTGGTAGGTCCTGTCATTAACTGCCAGGAAGAAAAGCATTTCTAAAAATGAGGATACACTTCACCTACTGTTGAAGTACCTGATGATGATGGAAATTAAGTGAGCCCAGCAATGAGTTGTTCCTCTACCACAAAGCACATGGAGGCTAAAATTAAAAAGCAGCCAAAATAACCAGGTGTGGTCCCACAGAAATGCCTGGATCCCACCACTGACTATGCACAGCACCACAAGCCCAGGTACACACTTCCAGAGTAAGTGGTGCAACAACAGCCTCAGACTGGCTCTGTTGCTGCAGTCACACTGGCACCTGAGCACAAGTAGAAGCTCAGACATCCTTAAACAGAGAAATGGCTACGTATGTCCTTTAGCATCTCCCTTGTTCCTTGTCAGTGCTGACTTCCAGCATAGGAGCACAGCAATTCACCTGGAGCACTTCACTGCTAAGCAAGAGAAAAATCAGATTTAAGGCAGCTCTGCATCCTTTGAATACAGCACTTATAGACAACATTCCTAAATCTCTGGCTGTGCTGGTGTCTGAAGATACACTTAATGCCTGAAACAACCTTCATCCCAACTGCTCCAGCTTACACCTCACAAGAGCCTACCAGCACAGCATATAGATGTCTGAGATCACCAGAAAAATCACTCAATAATTTCTCACTAGCATATCTTCAAAACCGTTGTGGTGAATTGAGCACAGTGACATAGATAGGAAAAAACTCCAAACAAATGAACAAAAAACCCCAACAAAACCCCAATCCAGTAATCATAGTTTTTAGTCAGATTTTTCACCTGTTTATTCTATTGGCTTTAGACTCACTATTTTCAATACCTACAATCAGTTATGAAAACACTTCATTCAAGATAAAACACTACTGAGCATCTCCACAGACAGTAGCCAGGTGATAATTTTAGAACAAAACCATATATGCATGGATCCACTTCTTTGCACAAAGGGAGTTCACATTCCTCTACACACACAGGAAGAAACCTAGAGCCATTTCTAAAAGCTGCTCAGATTAGCCTTGCTGCTGTCAATTCCCACAGCAAGGGGGGGAAACCCAGCAGAAAGTGGTCTGGATTTTCAAGGACTCGCTCTGTCACCCCCAGAATTACAGCTGCACCCCAAGCAGAGCAGCATACTGACCCTGCAAAGCCACTCCAGAGAGCAAATCCTACCGTGTGGCTGCCTCAGTCCCGTCTCCCAAAAGATACCACCAGCCACAAGGTTTAGTAACACTTAAAATAGCCCAGCCAGCTCACAGCAGTCCATATAGACAATTCTATTTCAAGCACATCCAACATACTGTTAGAGATAGCACAGGAACAACCCGCTTTCTTCACTAATGCTTGACATTTATCTGATGCTTTGACTATTTATGCTAAGGCAGTGTGAAACTGCAAGCTTGCACATTCAGCAGCTTGGACAGTCACAATGCAATTCCAGCACCAGTAAACTAGACGGTGCTAGAACAGCCCCTGAGCTCGTTAACTGAGACTGATCTGGAAGCTCATGTTAGCCACGGGAATCCCGGACCATGCTGCTCAGGCAGAAATTTATTTCAATGTCCCTCCCTGCAGACAGCCTCACCACCTCCTTATTTCTAATAGACCAAATATTTTGCCCACTGCTGACTTACTTTTGGCCAAAGCCCAGGTGAGATTCTGCACCTACTGAGTTGACTTCTCTTCTTCACCTTGCCTCCCAAAACCCACCACTGCTTCTCTATGGAGCACGCCTAAACGCCAGAGATATTGCTTGACCCCCTCTCCCCCAGGAATTTGTCTCAGCATGTCAAGCTGTTTCTGCCATGCCAAGGGCAGCCCTTGGGAAGAAGCAGGCTCAGGAAAGCTGAGCTAACAGCTAGTGTGGCATTTTTTGCTTTATGCAGGGCTGCACTCGTTTCCTCCTCTGCACCTGCTGTTCCATCGACACGGATGCCCAGGCAGTGTTCTGCTAGGCTTGGACACACACATGACAGGCTCACAGGTGCCAGCCTTCCCTCTGCCTGGTGCACAGGGGTGGGGAGGACCAGGCACACAGCCCCACACCTGCCAACATGGCCAAGACTGGGTGAAAGTGTAAACGGGATGAAACCAGATGAGCCCATAGAGATGGAGAGAGAAGGCACGGTGGAGGTTATGCCAGGGTGAGAAGCAGAAGGACAGCCTCCCTGACACGCCAGGGGAGGAGAGAGATGGGTAAGGTCACAGAATCCTTTAAGGTTGGAGAGGACCACCAAGATCACTGAGTCCAGCCATTAAGTCAACACTGCCAAGCCCACCACTAAGCCATGTCCTGAAAATGCCACATCTACATGGTTTCTGAACACGTAGAGATGGTGATTCAACTACTTCCCTGGGTAGCCTGTTCCAATGCCTGGCCTTTTCCATGAAGAATTTTTTAAAATATCCAATCTAAGCCTTCCCTGCTGCAGCTTGAAGCCATTTCCTCTTGACCTGTCACTTGTTACCTGGGAGAAGAGACCGTCCCTCACCTGGCTACAACCTCCTTTCAGGGAGTTGTACAGATTGAGGTCTCCCCTGAGCCTCCTTTTCTCCAGGCTGAACGCCCCCAGCTCCCTCAGCCGCTCCTTATAGGACTTACTCTCTAAACCTTTCAACAGCTCCGATGCCCTTCCCTGGACACGCTCCAGCACCGTTGGCCGCCCCCGCCCGCCCGAGCCCCTCGGGGCCGCCCCGCGCCCCCATGCGCCGCCCGCGGGCCCGGCCGAGGATACCCAGGCAGAACGGCGGCCCCGCGTCCCCAGCCCTCACAGAAGGGGCTCGGCGGCGCCTCCCGGCCTCACCCTCACCCGCCCCCAACTCCAGCACGGCCCCACCGCCTCCCCCCGCCTCCGCCGCCGGTCCCGCTCAGCCCCAGCCCAGTACCTGTACCCGTACAAGGCGCCTCGATAGCCCCGCTCCGACGGCTGCGCCCGCCGCTCTCTGGGACTTGTAGTGCGGCGCGGCCCCGCCCGGGACGGCGGGCGCCCTCCCCCGCCGGGGCGGCGCTGCCCCGAGAGGCCCTTCCGCGAGCGCCAGGCCCCGGCTCCGCCGCGCTGCTCCAGCCCCGTCCCGAGCCGAGATGGCGGCGCCCGAAGGCACCGGCGACGCGTGTCCGCGGCACAACCCGCCCCGCCCGGGGCACGCGCCGGGACTACAGCGCCCACAGTGCCCCGCGGCGGCCGCGGCGGTTCCGGGCGGTGGCGGCGGCTCCGCGGCGCCGCGCCCTGTGCATGGCCGTGGCGCCGAGCATGGGCCCGGAGCGCGTCTGTCCCCGGGAGCCCGGGCTGCCGGAGGGCCCTGACGGCGCGGCAGGGTGGAGCGGCGACGAGGAGGAGGACGAGGAGGAGGAGGAGGAAGGTGGCGGAGGGTACTTGTACCAGCCACTGAGCCAGGAACCGGAGCAGGGCCCCGGCGAGGCGGGCCCCGGCCTGCAGGAGCGGCTGCAGGTACCGCCCAGGGCCTCCGGCCGAGACGGGGTTGGGGGCACCCGTGGTCCCGACCCCCGCTGCCCGCTTTTCTCCGCAGATGCTGAGGCTGCACCTGCCCGACCCGCCGACGGACAGCGAGGAGGAGGAGGACGACGTGGCGGAAGGCGCCGCGGCTCAGAGCAGCCGCAGCTCCATCCCCATGGATGCAGGTAACGGCGTGTTCGGCAGGGCCCTTTCGGGGCTCCGCCGCGGTCTCACGCCCTTTCTGTTCCCAGAGCATGTCGAGCTGGTGAAGAGGACAATGGCCAGCGTGAAGCTGCCTACCCTGGGCATCCCCGCCTGGGCCAGCCAGATCTCGGAGGAGCAGTGGAAGGACGTGGTGCAGCGCACACTGCAGGCCCGGCAGAGCCTCGGTGGTCCCCGGCCCGAGTGGAAGTGAGAGCTGAGCTGCAGCACAGGAGCTGCAAACCCCAGCCCTCCCTCCACCCTGCAGGCACCCGCTGCCTCCAAGCCAGGTGCTGACAGGACTTGCCAGTATCGACCTTCCAGTTTCTCCCACTGACATTGTCTGATTTACCTTCCCACTCCTCTTTCCTGGTTCTGGCTGGTGCATAAGTCATTGTGATGTCCTTGTGTTGGCTTGCTCTGCCTCTGAGGAGCCTGACTGGTTTCCATACCTGTGTGCATGTGGGGCGAAGGGACTTAGCTGGCTTTGCCCAGATTCCCTCAGGACAAACACTGGACTTGTCCCTGTGCTGACAGTACCTGAGAAGTCCCTCTCCAGGCTTGGGCCCCTTCTCCCAGGACAGGGCCTGTGTTGGAATATCAGAGGCAGAGCCAGATGTGTCATTCCAAGAGACTGGTTTTATTTAGTTCTGTACATACAGGGACATCTGTACAAAATCCAACACTTTCATACTATGTAATGCTCTACTGAAAATAAAGTACACCATATGTACATATAAACTGTAAGCAGCTTAATACTTGTGTCCAGGGGGTGAATGCAGTAGTTTTGCTTGTTCCCTTGGGAGGAGGGAGCCAGGTGAAGTGGAAGAGGCAGCTCCAGTTCTGTCCATTTGGCTGACATGGGGAAAGGCATAGGCAGAAATGAGCAGCACTGATGCTAGAAACCAAGTATTGAGCAAGGGGCAGCTGTAGTGTGGCAGATACAGATCTGCCAATGAGCAATACATGTGGTGAGAGGGTGAGCACACTCCCCCCTTTCTCACATGGTCCCCTTCTGAGGTGTCCAGGACACTGGAATGAATAGGCAGCAAACAAAGGGTGAAGGTACTAAGCCTAAGTTCCCTGACTCAGAACAAGACACACAAAGCTATGAGAACACTGAAGCTGTACAGCACGTAGTCATGATGCGTTAGAGTCCTATCCCTGCACATGGCATGACTCCAGCAGCATTCCTCTGGCCAGGCTCAGGGGCTGCCAACAGAGACAGCCCATCTGCAGGACAGCGTCAGCCTCTGCACACCATAAGTCTCTGTTCCTTCTGCAGGCAGAGCAGCCTGCAGCAGGGAAAGGCTGCCCAGCAGCAAGCAGGCTTGAGTGAGGGCACACCATGCTGTAGCAATCTAAAAATGAGGTGTTGGCTTATAGCACAATGCTAAGAGCCAGTTGGAAAGCCTGCACCGAAAGGAAGAAGCATCTCGCCCAGCCTGAGCCCAGCAGTCCTCATCTCCACTGTGCCACTCCGGTGCACCATCTGGCATCACCTGGTGCATGTCTACATGCTGTGCCAGGCGTGAGGTAATTGATTGGCAGCTGATAATGAGCTTGGAGTAATGTTCAGTGTAAGCAATAACCTCCCTGAGGTGTTCTAAAGTCTCCTGATGAACTGGCCTGTTGCGGAGGGGAGGTGGGGTCCTGCATGACTGGGGGGATCTCACACACGCGCTCACCAGCTGTTCCGAAGAGATGGTGGCACCCCTTGTGAGGGCTGAGCCGAGAGAGACCTACACAGGGCAGGGATGCAGGATACAGAGGTAAAAACAGCCTGGTTGGGGTTGGAAGGAAAGATGTGCTGCACACCAGCAGCACATATTAGAGAGGATAAACCTCTGACCTGGGAATGGTTTACTAGTGAGGACAAGCAGATACACCAGAACCTTCTACAACATTCCACGATGCTGCAAACAGTGTCAGGCTAGCACCAGTGCCATAAGCTCCCTGCACTACTGCAAACCCACTTAAGCTTATGTGTCAAGAAAGCAGGTACAGCAGATAAGAAGCAAGGAGGACTCCCTTTTCTATCACAAGGCAGCCTCTGAGGTGGCACCTTGGCCTGGCACTGAATCTGCACCACAAAAAATAGGGGTGAAAGCTGGATCACAGTAGCACCCAAGTGCTGCACAAGCCCCTGGGCTATCAGCAAGTGTGTTCTAAATGCTAATTTAGCAGAGTCCCTGATGCACCAGTAATAACTAACAAGGGCCTCAGCTCAAGGGCCTCAGCGGGTGCCAAAGTAACAGGGAAAGGTGAACTTTGGTCAGAGCACCCATGGAAGCAATTCAGCAGTAACACTTGGCCATTGATCATGACAAGGAGACAACTAAACACTCAAACTCAGCCACGCCCCATAAGGTGTATCCATTGCTTCCGCTAGCTTGCAGAAATGACTTTAGCAGCACAAGCTTCCTAGAAACCCTGGCCACTGCAGAGCTAAAGGTGGGATACAGAGACAAAGGGAGAGCTGCAGGAGTATTTTAATTGAGCAGGTAGAAGAAGAAAGCAGAATTCAGTGGCTGACACCTGTTACAAAGCAGGAAGTTAATTCTGGGCCCACAATTAACCCAAGACATCGGAATGGAGATGAGTCAGCACAGACCAACACAAATAGCTGAAGGAATCACTTTCCCACAAGAGAGCTTCTAAGGATGTCTGAAAGGGAGGGCAACAGTATGTAGTGCTTGCACCCAGCTTTACTGGGGGTGGCAAAGCACTGAACCCCCCACTCCACTGACAGAGGAACAAAACAAGAGGCTTGGAAAAAAAGAAAGGTGGAAGTAAACATCTCCTCCACTGTACGTAAGACCCTTCAGCTGTGGAGCTGCACACCAAGGCAGCAAAGCCTCCACAAGCTCTGCTCCTGCCTCAAGCTCAGCCTGACCTCTGAGCACCACAGGGCTCAGCTGCACAAGCAGCACAGGGGCAGGCATGGCAGAGATGGGCACTTGGGGCTTGGAGCAGTATGCTGAGCCACGCATGGTTGTCTCTGGCCAACAGAGAGCCTGAGCAAGGCTCTGGCTTCCAGGCAGAGTAAGAAGAGGTGGCAGCTTGCAATGAAGTGAGTCCTGCCTGGACTGATACAATCAGAGGTCAGGCAGGCTCCCTTCATGCATGCACAGCCAAGGTGAAAAAGCAGGAGGACATGACAGTGGTGAGATACAAGTTATAACATAAAACCAGATCTACCCTGGAGGTATGCAGATGGAGTGGAGGACAGGCACAGCTCACCATGTTCATTCCTTACTTATACATGAGAACCGAGTGCATTTCCATGACCCCTGGAGAAAAGGGATGGGGCAGAGCTTCTCGGGCCAGCCCCTGAGCCCGTCAGAGAGCCTCCTGGCTTGAGGTGAGAAACTCTTCTGCTCTCTTGTGGGCCTCCAGGGCTTTTATAGTGTAGACGTCCTGTGGAAGCTCAGATTTCCGGCGCAGCAAAACTTTGTCCTTCTTAATGTCTTTCAGCATCTACAGACAAACCGAAGGAGTCAGGGATCAGTAGCAAACCCCTTCACCTCTTCAGCCTCTGACTCCAACAACTCTAGAATATGCTGGGTGACACTGCAGCATGCTGCAGAACAGTCTAAGAGCCAAATACAGACTTAAAGGACAGAAAAGTCCCACTCGCACTTTTTCCAGAGTGGGAAGGTTAGAGGGAAGATTAGATAAACTCTACTCTTCAGACTACAGGCTGATCTTTTAATGATCAGGGATGAGAGTAGGGTCATTTACCCTCAGAACACTTGGAAAGAGCCAGTTCTGGCTGTTGGACCCTGGACTGAGAGCAATTGTGGAAGGACTCTAGTCACCTACGCACCTGCACAGCCTCTGTCTCCACTGTTTTCTTCAGTAGCTGTATATCCTCTGCAGTCGGGGTCTCTGTTTCCATACAGCACACAGAAGGCAAGGGTAGAGGTGCATAATACATGGGGTACTGCAGACAACACAGATAACTGGAGAGTCAGCACTCCATACAACACCAAGCCTTCTCCCCCAGCATCCTAACATGACATGGCACACTTCTAGCTGCCCTCTCTGGCCCCCACAAAGGTAGTAGTAGGTACACAGACAGGAAAGCAGCATCCTCTCCTACCCATTCCTACCAATGCCGTCTGAGTCACAGCACACTGCATGCAAAGCGGCAGCTGAGAGCACGGCCCATAAACATGTATGTGCATTACTTAGAGGTCAGTGCTACAGAAGGCCAGGCTGATAAAACACTGTCAACATTCCCAAGACACTGGGTTTTGGGAGGGACAGACCACTGCTGCAGCAGTGTGCACAGGACTGGGATCAGGTGCTAAAGCCTGCTCTCATGGTCTGAGAAAGCAGGTTAAGACCTCCAGCACATTCTTGTCTCATTCATCCTAGGTTCTGTTGTCACAGAGTCACAGATTATGCTAAGTTAGAAGGGATCCACAAGGATCATTGAGTCTAACTCCTGGCCCTGACAGGACCATCCCCAAGAGTCACATCATGTGCCTGAGAGCATTGTCCAAATGCTTCTTGAACTTTGGCAGGCTTGGTGCTGTGACCACTTCACCGGGGAGCCTGTTCCAGCACCCAACCACCCTCTGGGTGAAACACCTTTTCCTAATATCTAACCTAAACCTTCCCTGACACAGCTTCAGGCCATTCCTTCAGGTTCTGTCACTGGTCACCACAGAGAAGAGATCAGTGTCTACCCCTCTTCTTCCCCTCATGAGGAAGTTTTAACTGCAATGAGGTCTCCCCTCAGTCCCCTCTTCTCCAGGCTGAACAGACCAAGTGACCTCAGCTGCTCCTCATACAGCTTCCACTCAAGGCCCTTCACCATCTTCATTGCCCTCCTTCAGACACTCTAATAGCTTAATATCTTTCTTATATTGCAGTGACCAAAACTGCACACAATATTCAAGGTGAGGCTGCCCCAGTGCAGAGCAGAGCAGGACAATCACCTCACTTGACCGGCTGGCAATGCCTGATGCCCCCAGGACATGGTTGGCCATCCTGGCTGCCAGGGCACTGCTGACTCATATTCAACTTGCTGTCAATCAGGACCCTCAGGTCCCTTTCCATGGCACCGCTTTCCAACATCTCATTCCCCAGTCTGTACCGGGTTGCCCCATCCCAGGTGCAGAATCCGGCACTTTCCCTTAAACTTTTTATGGTTGGTGATTGCCCAGTTGTCACCCACCTGAGGGTTCAGTCGGGCCAGCTCCTCTATTTTCTGCCACATTTCTTCTCGTTCCTTCATCCTGAACCTTCCCCTACAGAGAGAGAGAGATCAGGTGTGAACTCCTGGGGAAAGTGCAGCTTTCACTCACTGGATGACAAAAGCAAGAGACAGCAGAAAAATGCAGGCAAGGAGAAGAGCTGCCCTGTCCTTCAGAGACCCCCTAATTCTACCTACAGGTGACATGAGGCAAGAATAGGGGACAAACTGCAACTAGCAGAAGGTAGGCAGGCACACTCCTCACTCACCTCAGAGCACATGGTGGCAACAGTGGGCTGCACAGGTACTTTTTCCCTGGCTTTGTGCAGCAGGAGTGGACCAGAGTGTCTGGTTTCTCGGGTAAAGTAATGACACTAGTCTGGATTTCAAAGACACAGTTTCCTGGTGCCCCACAGATGCAGAGGGACAAAATGACATTTACAATAGAGCTGGAGTTCCACTGCCCACTGTTACCTCTGTCTCTAGCCATAACACACCAGAGAGCTGCCCAAACCCCCCAGGCACAGCTCTT